AACAATGCTTTGTTATGTGTTGATCTAGCCTGGGGGTGGTGTTTCTTTTAGCTTGGAGATGGTGGTTCTTCTAGCCTAAGGGTGGTGTTTCTTCTCGAGCCAGACATGGTTTGGTGCGATCATGAATCTGGTGTGATCATGAGTCTGGTGTGACGGAAGGAATATGACGTGGTGTGATCATGCGTCTGGTGTGACGGAAGGAATATGGTGTGGTGTTACCATGAATCTGGTGTGACAGAAGGCATATGGTGTGGTGTGATCATGGATCTGGTGTGACAGAAGGCATATGGTGTGGTGTGATCATGAATCTGGTGTGACAGAAGGCATGCGGTGTGGTGTGATCATGTGTCTGGTGTGACGGAAGGCATATGGTGTGGTGTGGTCATGAGTCTGGTGTGACGGAAGTACGGTACCGGTATGGTGTGGTGTGATTATGAACCTGGAGTGATGGAAGGCATATAGTGTGGTGTGATAATGAATCTGGTGTGACAGAAGGCATACCGGTATGGCGTGGATTGCTCATGAATCTGGTGTGAAACCATGTGCTATTTTCCCCAGCACTGAATCTAAGGCATTTAGGCCTCTACTACGTATTACTAACACACAACTACCCACAGCAAAGCTTGCATTCGAAAAAATAATACACAGAATACAAAGGTAAAGTACATAAGACAGAGCCCAAGGGCAGAACTGAGACCTCCCTGACAACCCACTGGCTGGAGCCCATTCAGAACTCCCCTCAAAGCATTAGGTGAGTCATTCCTCCGTCCGTGCATTTATTCCCCACCAACTGCAGACACAACTACTGATCAAACAAAACCCCATTTTCTGCTTGCTTGCAGCCCAACACTGAGTCTCGAGACTCTACTTCTGGGTGCAAAGCGAGAGCCCCACATAGAGCTTGCGATCGATGCACACGTATCCGTTGTTCAGCTCCGCCAGCTTCCTTGCACTGTTCTGGAACTTGAGCGTTATGATGCGCGCACACATGTCCCCCTTCACCACATAGTAATACTTCAAGCACGGCGCCTTGGACACCGCCAGCTGGCGGCCTTTCATTGGTTGTGCGGAGAGAGAAGGGATGAGGGGTGGGAGGCGGGGCAGGGAGGTGGGTGATGGGTGGGAGGAGGACTCCTCCTCGGAGGTGTGGAGACCGAGCCTTCTTCCCCGTGTTGAGAACAATGAGGGAGAGGAGGAGGAGGAAAGGGATGAGGATGTGGAGGGGAGCTCGCGGAGTGAGCGAGAGGTGAATGGGCTGGGTGCATTGACGATATATGCATCCACACACACCTGCGATGGGTGGGAGCGGAGCACAGGAGGAAGGTGGGAGCACAGAGGGGGAAAGATAGGCAGGTGCATGAAGGATGTGAGGGTGAGGGGGCAATGGGCTGGGTGCAGTGTTTTGAGTCACCTCAAAACACGTGCGTTGACAATGTGTGGATCCACACACACCTGCGATGGGGATGGATGTGCATGGAAGTATGGGATAGATGGGCGTGGAGAATACTCTAATCATGCATGTGAACGATTTTTGAGTCGACTAAAATATCGACTTATGACACGTAGAAGTATGGAATGGATGGGCATGGAGGGTAGTCTAATAGTGCATGGTTCTACGCCCTCAATAGTCCATGATGGAGGGTACTATTGACTTTTGAGACGTCTCAATAGTGTATGGTTGTGCGCCCTCAATAGTGCACGATAGAGGGTACTATTTGTCACAACGTAAGCTTAGAACTGATACATTAGTAATGAGCTTGAAGCTCTTTAAGTACATCCAAGATGGGCAACAATGAATGGGGAGGGAAATTGGGAGCAATCTCTAGGGATTGGGGGTAATCCCAAGGCAATCTCCAATTGGTGGGTTGGAGATTGCTTGGAGATTACATCTGGGTTTGGTTGGGAAGTAGGTGTTCACCCAACCAAACACAAAGTGCATACTACAGTATGCTAGGATATAGAAAGTGCACAATACAAAGTGTGAGATTGAAGGCTATCGCTAACACTGTTGACTTTTGAGACATCTCAATAGTGCATGGTTGTGCGCCCTCAAAAGTGCATGATGGAGGGTACTATTGAGGGTGTAGAACCACACATCGTTCTTTTGAGTCGACTCAAAAGTCAGCATGGAAACGCAACCTGGAAGGATGGAAGGGCGTATACTAGTGAGGGGGAGATGGTTGGGTGAATGGTGGTAGAAGGATGGGATGGATGGACGTAGACTGCAGTCAGCACCATCACCGCTCCCCACCCCTCACCTGCACGCCATCCCCACTCCAGCCGCTGCCACTGAAGGACGGGTAGAGACTGCCACCAACGGATGGGAAGAGGCTGTCACAGCCCAAACCCGGGTTGAGTGCGAAGAAAGTGGTGTCGTTGAGGGAATGATCCGCCATGATGCTCAGACACGTGTCCCCTGCCTGCACTGTGTACCAACTCGTGCACATGGGCAGGTCTGCCCCGCTGCCTAATGCCACGCAGAGCTGCGCACACAAGGGAAGGCAGGAAGAGAGGAAGAATGGAAGTGGTTTTTGAGGCGCGTAAGAAATCACCTCAATGCTGGCAGGTCTGCCCAGTTACCCCCCGCGCGCATGGGCGTGTCAGCTCACAAGCTGTTGATCTCCGAGTCGAGCCCCACAGCTGATTCGCCGTCAACTGGGCCGCCATACCATTAAGCACCGCACCGCATCTCACCTGCTGGTTCACAGCCGGAGCGTTTCAGGCGGTTTTACTCGTGCAGTTGATCTCGTGGTTGAGACGCAGCAAGCTGCCCATCGTGAGCGAAAACAAGCTCGCCATGCCATTGAGCACCGCACTGCACTGCACCGCATTGTACCGCACTGCACCACATCTTACCTGTTGGTTCACAGTTGGAGCGTTCCAGGCGGTTTTACTTGTGCAGTTGATCCCGGGGTCGAGACGCAGCAAGCCAGCCACTGTGAGCGAGAACAAGCTTGCCATGCCACTGAGCACTGCGCTGCTTTTGAGACGTCTCGAAAGTTGCCCTGCACCACACTGCACTGCACCGCACTGTACCGCACTGCACCGCATCTCACCTGCTGGTTCACAGTCGGAGCGTTCCAGGCGGTGCTATCTGTGCAGCTGATCCCCGGGTTGAGACGAAGCAGGCCGGCCACTGTGAGCGAGAACAAGCTCGCCACGCCCTTGCATGTGTCATTCGCCGTCCACGAGTAGAACAGCCCGCATTGCACCGACCCCGTGAGGGGCGGCAGCACGCTCACTTGCGTGTTAGCGGGGATGGTCACGCAGTGATCCATGTTCTGTGGGTGGGGTGCGGTGGGGTAGGGTGTAGTGGGGTGGGGGGAGGTGGGGTGGGGGTGGAGTGACCACGAGTAGAACAGCCCGCATTGCACTGACCCCGTGAGGGGCGGCAGCACGCTCACTTCCTTGTTTTTGGGGATTGTCATGCAATGATCCATATTCTGTGATGCAAAAGGTGAAGGCATGGGGTTGGGTTGGGTGGGGTGGGATGGGTGCGGTGTGTGGGGCGTGAGTAGCACGATTTGCAGGTTCTGAGAGGCCAAAGGGAGGTATGGTAGACGTGGGGTGGAGGAACAAGCTAGCAGGTCAGAAGGGAGAAGCGGTTGCGGCTGTGAGCGAGCAATACAATTTGGGAGTTACTTTTGAGAGAGAAGCAGTTGCGGCAGTGAACGAGACATACTATTAGGAGTCTCTTTAAAGGGAGAAGCGGACAGGCTCACCAGGTCCGGGTTCTGAGCGAGGAATGCCTCCTCTGTGAGGCCGTAGAGCTGGAAGACAAGCGGGCAGTCGATGTCGATTGGGAAGATGACGGTGTAGGAGGGGTCGGAGGCTGCAGGGATGCAGGGGGAGCAGGCAAGAAATATATTGTGGAGGAAAAAAGGGTGAGAGGCGATGTCGATTGGGAAGGTGACGGTGTAGGAGGGGTCGGAGGCTGCAGGAATGCAGGGAGGGCGGACAAAAAAAAAAGAGGGTGGGGTGGGGGGGAGGGCGCTGAAAAAAGGGTAGTGGTGGTGTCGGGGGCTGGAAAGAGGCAGGTGGAGAACAGGTTTGGGAGGGACGAAGTAGTGTGGTTAGGTGAGTGAGGAGCAAGAAGCAGGGAGGTGAGGAGAGGAGAGGGAGGGGAATGGAGGAGAGGTGATTGAGAGGCGAGAAGAACACAAGAGAGAGGAAGATGCAGTGAAGGTTCAGAAGTAAACTGTGCATACATGGGATGGGATGGATGTGATTTCCTGTGGCTCCTAACGAAACATGAATAAGTAAAGGACAAGAGAAGCCACCCACTTGAACACATAGTGGGACGCATGTGAGAACATGGGTACCAAAAGACAAAAGCAGCCACCCGCTTGATTACTTACTCGGGACACATGTGTGAGCGCCGTTGGGGCGATACCCCTGATCGAATCCCGGCGGACAGAGACAAAAGAAGCCGCCTGCATTGTCGTTGACGCACGTGCCGACCGCACAGGGATTGTCGTCCTGCAGGCTGCACACGTCAGCTGGCAGGGGGCGGGTGGGTGGGGAAAGGTGATGGCTTTTGAGTCGATTCCATTTGTCATCAAGCAGGCTGCACACGTCAGCTGGCAGGGAGCGAGCGGGAAGGGGCGAGTGGGGGGAGGGAAGTGGGAGGGTGCGAGTGGGCGGTGGGGAGGGGACGAATTGGCGGGGCGCAAGGAGAGGGGAAGTGGGGGGGGAGAGGGGAGGAGGCGCAAGGGCAGTTGGAGGGATAGGGAGGGAGAGGGAGGGAGAGTGAGGGAGGAGCGATCCAATGTAAGGTCATGTGTTGTAATGGGAAGGTAAGGGAGGGAGGATGACGGCAAGTGGGGAGAAGTGGGTGAGAAGCGGGGGAAAGGTGGGAAAAATGAGGGAAAAGTGGGGGAAAAGTGGGAATAAATGGGGGAAAAGAGGGGGAAAATCCGGGTGAGCTTTTTTTTTTTTTAATTGTGTTTTTGAGAATTGTCGAAAGCACCCTGCAACTCAAACGAGTGTCAAGTTTGAGCTTATGGATCCCATCCCATCTCACCCATGCCTCCTCTCCACCCCATCTCACCCATGCCTCCACTCCACCCCATCTCACCCATGCCTCCACTCCACCCCATCTCACCCATGCCTCCACTCCACCCCATCTCACCCATGCCTCCACTCCACCCCATCTCACCCATGCCTCCTCTCCACCCCATCTCACCCATGCCTCCTCTCCACCCCATCTCACCCATGCCTCCACTCCACCCCATCTCACCCATGCCTCCACTCCACCCCATCTCACCCACCCATGCCCGCACCCCATTTCGCCAAACACACAGGTGCGCCACTCACCAAACACACACGTCTGGGCGCCGCCTTTGTCAGTAACGGCAATGAAGTACGGCTCATCGCACATGCATGTGTATTGACCGCCCCCAAGGTCCTGACACGAGCCTCCCCCACATGGGTTCTGCGGCGACAGGCACGGCGACGCCGCTGGTGGGGGGAAGAGGAGAGAGAACATGTGAGGCGCCTTATTAGAGCGAATCCGGAGACTTGGATCTGTAGTTGCTTTCCCCTGTGTCCTGAAACGAGCCTCCCCCACATGGGTTCTGCAGCGACAGGCATGACAACGCCGCTGGTGTGGGGAGAGGGGAAAAGGAAAGGGGGTTCAAGGTGCTGACATGGCACTGGGTGCTGACATGGCACTGGGTGCTGACATGGCACTGGGTGCTGACATGGCTCTGGGTGCTGAGATGTCACTGTCAATGCACATGTGCACAGAGTGTGTGCACGAGTGTGTGTGCAAGTGTGCGTGCAAGTGCGCGTGCGAGTGTGTTTGTGAGTGTGCGTGCGAGTGCACATGTGCATGTGCACTCTGGATAGAAGCAAGAAGGTCAGCTCACTCTGAATGATGGGGTAGAGGGCCGGCACTGAGTGAATGCCACAGATGCCAACGCCTCCCTCAAAGGCCATTTGCATGAAACTCTGCATGCAGAGAGTGAGAATGCACGGAGAGAGTGAGAATGCAAGGAGAGAGTGAGAATGCAAAAAGAGAGTGAGAATGCACGCAGAGGAAGGGAAGAGGAGAGGGGAGAGAGGGAAGAGGAAAGAGCAGAAGAAAAAACGGCTCAGGAAGAGCAGGTGCGCGTGAGACAGTGCAATGGGTTACGTGGCACTAGGAGGAGCATGACGGTACATCTCTGTGAGGCTAGCAGCACACGTCCCACCTGCAGAACATGCGGCACATCCCACCTGCAGAACATGCGGCACATCCCACCTGCATGCCCCACGTGCCCCCCCAGGAATTGCGGAGGATCCAGTAGGCTCTGTCAGCGGTGATGCTGTAGCCCATCACCACCACACTGTGATCCACCACCCCTGCCGCTGCACACCCTGGGTCGCTGTATATGCCCTGGGGGGGAAGCAATGTGGAAGGAGAGGAGAGAAGAGGAGGGGTAGAAGTGGAGGGGTTGAAAAGGGGAAAGGTGGGGACGGTGCAATGCATGGTACCTCTCACACTACCCCATCACCAGCACGCTGTGCTGTGATACAACACTCCCGCTGCTGCACTGCACACCCTGCATCGCTCTGAAAAGGGGGGATAAGTGCAGGGAGACTAGAGCGGATGAGCTTAGCTCACACCACCCCATAACAAGCACGCTGTGATCCGCCACTCCCGCTGCTGCACACCCTGCGTCGCTGTATACTCCCTGGGAAGGGGGGGGAACACGCGGACGCGGAGAGGTGAAGGGAGAGAGGAATGGGGGAAAGGAGGAGGGAGAAGGGGAAAGCATGAGCACAGCTCACTGAATGCCATGGCTGCTTGCCGTGCATGCCATTGCTTCTGCATGCCAGGACTTGGGTAGGAAGTGTAGGCGCATAAAAATTCCACATGGCAACAGAGAGTTTTTGAGACGTCTCAAAAAGCCTCAAGTGAACGTAGAGTTTGAGTTTTTGAGGTGGGGTGGCTTTCGAGGCGCGCAGAGGCCCCAAGTAAGTGCTATGGCGGGCCGAACCTGGGCCTCTTTGGCGTCAACCCAAAAGAGACTGCTATTTTGAGGCGCCTCCATACACCTCAAATAAGCGCAATGGTGTGCCGAGCCGAACTCGGGTAACCTTCGGCGTCAACCCAAAAGAGACTGCTCCCTGTTCCTCTATGTAGGCCTGTAAGGAGGAGCCTTTGCGTCGACTAAAAATGCACCACAGAAGTGTTCTCTTACATTTGTGTAGGTCTGGAAGGACGGGTAGGAGGCTCGCACGAATGCAATGGTGGGCTGAGTCTGAAACAGAGAGGCAAGGGAAGGAGAGGTGGAGAGTAGGAGAGGGGAGGGAAGGGGAGGAGAGGAGAGGGAAGGAGAAAAGAAGGGGAGGAGAGGAGGAGAGGAAGGGGAGGGGAGGAGAGAAGGGGAGATGAGGAGATGAGGAATGGGCGGATTGGCAAGTGGCAAGGGGTGTAGAAGCTACATCCAGACTAGAAACTGTGCTATTTGCGGCTATCCAACACATGTGCTCTTTGCAAGAATTCAACACTTGTGACTTTTGAGACGTCAAAAAGGAAACTGTGATCTTTCAAACAGTCCAACACATGTGCGCATATTTCCTGCCCTGTCATCTGCCCTGTCACCGGCACTGTCGCCTGCCCTGTCACAGCAGTATGACCTATCATCAGCACTGAAGCACAGCAGCAGCGAAGCTTACGTTGACAGCGAGCAGCAGGCCCAGCCAGCCGTAGAAGTCCACCTGGTCGTACCCCGTGATGCCCACCACTACGTGCCATGACTTAATAACGTGGTATCTAGTCGGCGTTTAGGCTTACATTGACAGCGAGGAGAAGGCCGAACCAGCCGTAGAAGTCCACCTGGTCGTACCCCGTGATGCCTATGGTCGTAACCTGGGCTCACAGACAGGGCACACGGACGCATGGGCGCAGGGGTATGGGCGCAGGGGCGCACAGACAGGGCGCATGGCCGCACAGACACGACACATGGGCATGGGTACAGGGGCGCATGGGCACATTTTGAGACGTCTCAAAAGGCCGCACAGACAGGGCACATGGGCGTGGGCGCAGGGGCGCATGGGCCAAAAAAGCACCCTCTTTTTGACCCAGTCGGTAGCGAGGTGGGTGTTATATAGCCCCCCAGGCGTACCGTGCGACGGACGCATCTGCTCTGCCTCTGCATGTACGGGAAGTACGCTGCATCAGCGGTGAGCACCCCCCACTGCCGCGCTATTGAGATTTCTCAGAACCAACCTCCCCCTGGCAGACCACCCCCCATGCGTACCTCCCCCTGGCAGACCGCCCCCAGGCGTACCGTGCGGCGGGTGCATCTGCTCTGCCTCTGCATGTATGGGTAGTACGCTCCCTCGGCCGTGAGCCCCCCCCACTGCCGCGTGGCGACGCGATAAAAACCAAGTCCTAAGACGGTTCAAAAGGCGTACCCTGCGGGGGACGCATTTGCTCTGCCGCTGCATGTACGGGAAGTACGCTGCCTCGGCGGTGAGCCCCCCCCACTGGCGCGTGGCGTCCACCATGAAGTCCAGCGCTGCCGTCGGCCACCCGCCGTCAAGACAATTACTGCTCGTGCTGTTGTTACAATCCAGCACCTGTGGGGTTGGGTTGGGGGCGGTGGGGAATGAGGGGAACGGGGGGTGCACGCGGGTGGTGGAGTGGGAGGGTCAGTCGCGTGGCGTCCACCATGTAGTCCAGCGCTGCTGTCGGCCACCCGCCGTCGACGCAGTTGCTGCTCGTGCTGTTGCTGCTCGTGCTGTTATTACAGTCAAGCACCTGAGGGGCGGAGTGTACGGGAAAGTGCAGAACAGCGCACCTGCTGAACCTGATCCTGCTGCAGCACCGCTGTTAGGTACAGGCTACGCGTACATCGAATAGCATGACGGTATAAGCAGTAGTATAATACCTCAGTAGTAACCGTTACTGCTCAGGTTAAGAAACCCGTGCTTGATAGATAGTAGCTTCCGCACCTGCTGTAGTGATATGCGCTGAGGGGGCGCCATGGAGGGCACCGAGGCAGCCACTAACGCGTACGCCATTTCCACCGCGCTCACTGCTGTGATGGCCCATGATGCCTCTGGGGAGTGAAAAGGGGAAGACGATTCGGGGAGGGGGGTGAGGGGAGGGACAAAAAACATAGATAATCTCATTACTAGGACGAAAATTAACACCTCCCTCTGCTACCCTCTCTTCCCAGGATCCTACAACTGCCGCCGACCCTCCCCCTCTCCTCCCCCCCCCGGGACTCTCCAGCCAGCACATGCGCGCCAGCCAGCACATGCGCGCCAGCCAGCACATGCGCGCCAGCCGACAGATGTGTGCCAGCCTGCGTGATCGCGTGCTCTCTACGTGTGCGCGCTGGGCGCGAGCCAGCGCGTGGCTGCGCGAGCAGGTGCGTACCAAGGTTGCCGTACTATAGGAGTCCAATCCATCATCTCGCGCCGGCATTTGCCTTTCAAGGAACTCTCGGAAAACCAGCCCGCGGCCGCCGCCGTGGGAGCGCACTCACTGCATTTGCCTTCGGTGCGCGGCGCGAGAACCGGCTGGAGGCGCGGGTCCTCAACCCAGTTTTGAGAAGGTAGATGTTTCGAGATAGTGCTCATCAGCCGAAAGTTCTTTAAATTTCTCGAAAATCCTTGCACTCACTGCATCTGCCTTCGGTGCGCGGCGCGAGAGCCGGCTGGAGGCGGGAGTCCTCAGCCCAGTTTTGAGAAGGTTCGATGCTCGAGATGGTGCTCATCAGCCGGAAGAAACGGTTCGCGTACTTGGGAGTCACCGAGGCCACTGCGGGATTCGCGCTGCAGTTATAGCTCTGGGCTGTGGTACCGGCGGGGCCAGGGGCCAGACGGGGGAGAGAGACGAGGAAAGGGGGAGGGGAGAGGGTGGGGAGAGGGAGAGTAACGGAAGGGAGAAGGAAGAAGGGTCAGGGGGGAGAGTGGACGGGATTTTGTCAAAGACACGGAATCGATTATGGTAGCGGTGCGGGAGTGGCGCCAGTTGTGAGCGGGCGAGAGGGAGACACCGGAACTTCCTTGAAAAGGCAAGGACGGCGGAAGGATGCATGACTGACCTGCGACAGGGGTGACAATGCCGTTCGCCGCGAGCAGCGCAGCGAGAAGCACGGCGATCACCGCGAAGGATGCTTGTCTGGTCGCGAAACGGTCACTGTTAGTTGGCATTGGCCGGCGACGCGGCTCGGAAGGGGGAAGTTCCCTTCCGGCGCGGCGCGCGCTAGCGGCGCGTGACAATGTCGGATTCGATCGTGAACCGCAGCAGTGTTGCCGC